TCAAATACTTTCCTATTTAGATTGATTTCTTTTAATATCATATATTATTATACTATATGCCCCAGAGATTGGAACAAAATACTCCTGCAAATAACACATAAGAGATGAGGGTGAGGGGGAATAAATACAGTCTATAAAATGTTTTGCTTTTTAGAACTCAAATTACCATTCTATTTTTTTAAAATGTATTTTTCCTTCTTAGTTGCAGCAAGAATTATTTGTCATTTTCTTTCTCTCTTTATAGCTCTTAGTTTTAAAATGTATATGTACATAATGATAATATATACATATATGTACATTGCATTAAATGGCTTTTTTTCTCAGAGAATACTGAAGTCTATTTTCTCTTGGAAAACTAGTTCCATTACGTACCCCCAGCTTTATCACAGACCTGGCTTGTAAGGGTTCTCTTTTTATGTGTGGGAGACTTTATAGGTGCGATAAATTCATTCGCGAAAGGAGGTTCCTTTCCTGACTCAATTAAAATCATTGTGTACCCCTTATCTGTTAAAATGTTAGAAGCGAATTGACTTGAATTAACTGTTCTAAAAAGAGTGGAGTGGAAATCAGAGATTGAGTTTGGTTGGAAATTAGCAGCTGAGAGATGAAGGTGCCAGGATTTTTATTTAAATGTGGTACAACAAGATTCTGTCAGTGAAGCACATCATTAGAATATTGAGTTTAGAACTGCTAATTTTTCCTTTAAAATGAGCATACAGTCATGTGTTTCATGGACCATAATAAATTGCCATTGTGTTGTCATTGAGTTTTGTTTTGCTTTTTTTGCAGTACTGGTTTGGCAGTTGTTCTGCATTTTCTCTTTTCCTTTTTTTTCCCCCCTCCAATCTTACATGTCTTTAATAGATCCCTAACCAAAACCAGTCAAAAGCATGTTATTTATTTCATGCATCTTAGGTTTAGCATCTTTTGCACCATTTTCTTGCTTACGGTAGCAAGACATTTGCAGATGGTTCTTGGTTACTATAAAGTACATAACAGTATTTCCTTTGTGGCAGATGGATTTAAGACTTTTAGTTCTCGATAAATGTAGGTTTACAATACATAACTTTACAGGATTTGTGTTGTATATAACAGGTTTGAACATATTATCTCAGAATTCATCTGCATGGCATTTTCAGCTTATTGAGGGTCCATGCCAGTTTTTTTAAGTAATAGGAGAGCACTGTGATTGATAGCAACAGCTCAAGGCGTGATTTTGAATAGAAACAAAGGGTTTAGAACAGAAGGTGTCAAATTAAACTTTGTCAGTTTGAAAAGTAGTAACATCCTGAAAGTTTTACTAATTTATTTACATGTGGCTACTGTTTATATTTTGCCCTTTTTATATGCAGCGTAATGTTGCTTGGCAAATTTACTACATTTAAAGTTTAGGTTGTTCCTTGTACCATTTTAGTTTTCTGAGGATGGATCAGTCTCATTATTTTAAGGCTGTTCGTCCCCTCTTCTACTGTTCAAAACAGTTGTGACGTAATTTAATTTGAGAGTAGTTCCCTATTCCTGCCTATGGTCCTATAATATATCAAGTCCCAGGGACCTCTCTTAAAAACATAATTATGTTCACATTTTGCAACAAAGCACTGCATTTCATTCCTCATCTCTTTTCTCCCAAGTAAATCTATATAGTTATCATTTAAAAGCCAGTACAGCACTTTGGGGAATCATTATTTTTATTTCTCAGATATTGAAAATATTCTGCCTTATTCATTGTCTTCCCAAGTTTATTTGCTCAAGCAGTATCACTTCTGGAAAACTGACCTAGAAAGAGGTCCTGGGGAATTAGAAAGCATTTGGCTTCTTTAGTCACTTTTTGCAAAACATAGATCAGATTACTGTCATCGTTAATAGAGTCACAATCAATAGGATTTGAGGTAGTCAAAATATTCCAAAGTATTTAAATAGTATTAGAATAAATTAATCTTATTTTTGCCAGTGTAAATTGGGAATGAGCCAATTTATCTCTACACTGACAAAGAACTAACATGTCGAAATGTCTGTTATCCATTATTTCTTAAGAGATAAGCACATCAAGAAAAGCAGCACCCCCCCTGCTTTGTTTTTTTGGAATACCCTTGTAGAGCTAACAGTTCCCAGCTGCACTGTTAAATATTTTTCTAAGAAGCATCTGATTTCAGTCTCTTAAAATCATCGTGTCTCTTGAAAGGCTAGCGGAGACATGCTTCAACTTATAATTCATCAAATTATTTTTAGATAAGGAATTAGAAGTATTATTTAAGGGCAGAGGTTAATAGCAAACTACTGGAAATGTTATGTTAGTCATGGGCAATTAATAAAAATAAAGATCCATCTCGTAAGTACAGAGACACAGAAGTGACAATATGAGCAAAATATTTGTTGAATGAGTCAGGGCTCTTTCTGAAATATTTGTTAAACCAGCATGAGTGTGATTGTTTAGGAATTAGCTATCATTATTAGCCATTTTAAAAGAACTAATGATTTTCTTTTCCAAAGAACATCTGTGATCCACATGTTTTTTCACATATATCCAAGTGCTAACTGATCTCTGCATTACTTTAAAAAGTTTTTAAAGGATGTGAAAAATCACTGGAGTTTTTCAGCGCTCTCCAAGAAGCTTTTCTTACATGAATCATTCTTAATTTAACTTTTAGCAATTTTTAGCTACAAGCATTTATTTCTAAAAAAAAAAAAAAAAAATTCTTAAATGCTCAGTGTTTAGCACTTATTGCAGTAGTAGAATACTCATTAAGTTTAAAATGTTTCTGCTCTGTTCTTTATGAACCTCCTGGCTTCTCTTGAAAGGTAAATAAAATTGTATGATTTGCCATGTTGAAGAATAGGTGTCCTGTCAATTGTCATAGCTGAGGGAGGCAGACAAGGGGGAGAGGGAAAGTAACCTTACCCACAGTTAATATTCAAGCCTATAGAAAGATACATATTTAAAACCTACGAGGCAACAAAATTTAGAGGTAAAATGTAAAGAAATAGCTTAGATATAGGAAAATGTATAATATTTTCATGGCTTAATCCAGATAGCAAATATTTACCAGTAAGAGATAAATAAATATTTCCAGGGCACCATATGCAAGTGGGTCTCAAATACATCAAATATTCGATACTGTTTTATAGTTAATATTATAGTCACATAAATACAGCTGAAATATGCTGTATTATAGTATTTTGGAAATAAGCATAGAATTGCCATGGTTAGAAGCATGTTCACTGACACAGTAGTCACCAGGATGATTATGTTTTATTTAGCAAATATTTTTTCAGGTAAGTCTTTAATTCATTGCCTCCTCTCTTAACTTTGAATTATATATTCAGTGGCATTGAATGAGTGTATGATTACATGACCATCCCATATATATATATATGTTAAATTAAAAGACCTATTGAATAGAGGATCAAAACTCTCAGAAAAATTAGTAGATCTCATGAAATTTACAGCAGTCACTGTTGTCTGGTTAGTAGGTAGGTCTTGGGAAGCTAATGTATCAGTTCTTTATCTTTTCTTTTAAAATATCTCAGCTAGGCCATTTTGGGGAGAAACAGGCCTTGCTTCTTTTCACTGTGTATGGCAATCAGAAGAAGAACTTTCTAATGATTCAGTTTGAGAAAGGAAAGAAAGTCATTCCATCCTCCAGTTTTACCCCCACTAACATGATAAAACCCTCCTTGGCTAGATCTAAAAATCAAATAATAAAGAAACTGTACTCTTTTCATTCCTATCCAACTTATTTGCTTGAAATTTCAAAGAAACCCCTTTGTCTTAGTTCAGGACCCCTAATAGCAGAGCCTAGGATGGGGAATCGGGTGCTCCCTGGAAGGAGTGGAGGAGGGTGGGGAAAAGGAAGGGGTCCAGTAAGAATGCACCTTCAGGTGAAGTCTAGCCCTAGATTGATGAGGAAGGGAGCAAGAAGAATGGCAATAACCTTCTCTAGAGAGTAAATTGAAGGGTAGAGTCAGTTGCCCACTTTGAGAAGAGGGGGCAGGGACTTTGTACCCCTGGGTTAGCCAATCACTGGCCACCTGGGGTGAGGGGGTCAGTGAGGAGGTGGCGTAGCCTTTTAAGCATCTCCAAGACATTTCTCCAGAGCAGAGAAGAGCTGAGATGTGGCTGCCTTGGCTGGGGGAGTCTGAGTGGGACACCCTCACTCTTCCTCCCCACTCCATTGTTTAGTGTCCATCATGGCAGCCAGGATGAAGGTTTGAGATGATGGCTAGGAAATGTACTCTGATGGACCACTACTCAGCTCTTGATAGATAATACCAGGATCAAAAACTGGGCCTGGGGAGGACATTTCTTTACCTCTTAATCCAGGAAACCTGTGAAAATTCTTGCCGGACAAATCATATGCTCACACTGTAGTAGGCAGAAAAATAGAACTCCAAGGTCTTTTTTTTTTTTTTGGAGAGTTCTCTCCGAGAGAATTCTTCTAATGCCCATTCTAATTATTATGCCTTATACTGGACAGCGTTCTTGCTGACACAATTGCACATATCCTTTCTCTTTCATACACATACACACAAATATTCACACATAGTGTTCTTCCTGATAGAAAAATTATAAGCTTAGGAAATCCTTTTAGAAAAACTGTGATTCTAAAATCTATCCTACTCCTTCTTAAGTACCTTCAGTATCCTCACATGGCCACTCATCAGACAAGAAAGTTAGGTAAGACTAGAATCACACTCAGCTTTGTTTTTCTTCTATTTCATATATTGTAAAGTCCATGATAAATGCTCTCTGGCTCTTGGAGTCTGAAAAATATGGCCCTCCTTTAAGATACAAGTCAGAACATTTATTAAAAACGGAGCCTGCCTCCTCAACAGCCACAGCTATCCTCTCTTAACAGGTTAAAAAAATTATTTAAAGCAGATTGGAGTGTTTTGAGTTTATGAAAAAGTTAATTCATGGGATCTTTCCTTTTTAGCTCCTAATGGAAAAATGCCAGCCCCCCTAATAGCCAGGAACTGACTATTATGCACTTGTCTCTAAGGGATGGTTGTGCGAGCTGTTACGCTGGAAAGAAGATCCTTCTCCAGAAAACAGGACCCTGTGGGAGAACCTCTCCATGATCCGAAGGTTCCTCAGTCTTCCTCAGCCAGAACGCGATGCCATTTATGAACAGGAGAGCAACGCGGTGCATCACCATGGCGACAGGCCGCCCCACATTATCCATGTTCCAGCAGAGCAGATTCAGGTCCGTTTACCTTGGCCAATTCAATATAGAAATAAGTAAATAAAGCTTTAAACTTAGCAGGGAAATTAGCGTTTCTCTTCTTCCTGCCAATCTAAACGTAGGCTTTTTAGCAAGAGATAACAATACACTGCCATCTTGCTCAGGGGGATAAGAGGAAAATGAACATACCTTTTCCAGCATATGCTTTGTGTTCCTCTCCTCTCATGTCCCTGCTCCCAGAGTGACAGGAACCCCCTTTTTACACTTCTTGCTTGGCAAATGTGTCTTTGTTAGTATTGAGTTTTATGTGCGAGAGCTTAACATTTTTGTGTGTTTTTTAAAATTCAGAATTTAAAATACCACCTATTTTTTAATTAATACCATACTGCCCCCTGAGGAAAAGAATTACTGCTGTTACAGTAGAGGAAGTTTGTAGAATCAGAATTTTACACCTTGGTTTCTGTCCAAAAAGTGGAGGGGAGGGATGCCTAACTGGAATCTTGCTTTATGCTCCTCAGTGGCCCTTCCTTCACCTTGTAGCTGTCTCCCCATACCCTCACGGAACGCAGGTTAGGGGTGAGTCATATCTGTTTGTCTTTCCTTTAGAGCCCCTCTCCCACCACCCTTGGGAAAGGAGAGTCTAGAGGCGTTTTCTTACCAGGCCTGCTGACCCCTGCACCATGGCTCGGTGCTGCTCCTCAGGTGAGCGGGCACAAGTTACCTATGCCAGCAAGAAAGGGAGACACAGAGGGGGTGGCGTAAAGACCAGCTCTCTGGGTCAGGATTTTCAGACTTGGAAAGGACATGCTAACCATGGCTCTGGCCAAAGACCACTGACGATCAGATTCAGCCTTGAGTTGGTTTGTCATGGCACAGGACTTGTCTCTGTTCATCTACTGAAAAAACTCCCCTATGAATTTAGATTGGAAAATTCTGGGATCAGGTAGTTATTGGTGTTCTCATGGCCTCGATTGCTTAGGAAGTGTGTTGTGATTGAACTAGAGCCGTATAACTTATTTCTGTTAAATCTAAGGGGATGTTTTTAGCTTTCTCTTTGAAAGTAAAATGCCATTGCCTTCCAGAATCCTAAAATTCTCTCTTTGTTGAATCACCTGCATTATTTCTTGATATTAACATGCAAAAAAATATATATGCAGCTAAAAACAATAATAGAGTTATTCATCCACCAGGACAAAAACATCATCGGTGTGTGTTAAAGATAAAACAGATTGACAAAGAGCCTCCCTTTAGGATATCAAGCACTGAAATCATCGTGAAAGCCTGATGAAAAACTCACTGTTTAGCAAAAACAAGAAAGAGAAAGATATATGTTAAGTAATAAAAAATCGTACTTGTTTGAAAATGTAAATTATTTTTAATAAAATTGCTTCTTAAAGGGATAAAAGGAAATGCTTAGGCACAGTATAAACGTTCTAGTATTTTGCCACTTACTCAGGTTGATTTGCTCGGCTGGTAAGAATTATGGATATCAAGTATACAGTATGTGCATGTGTCACACGTTTGTTATGTATAATTGTGTATGGAAATTACAGCACATATACAGATACTAATTATGAAAAAATGTCTGTATACACTAAATTTAAATCCTAATCACATCTGAGTTTACTGTAGACAAAACAATTCGCTAGCCGTCATATAGTGGATTGAACCTTTATTTTTGGGTAAGAAAAAATCTTGCAGTGTCAGCCTAGTGCGGTTTGGTAAAAAATTATGTGTGTATTAAATTGGAAGTATCTGATAGAAAATTCACAAATGTAAATATCTCAAAAATCCTCTGGACTATAAGAGATAAAACTGAGTAAGAGCAGGCACTTATCTTCTATTCTTGTTCCATGTTTTAGCCATCCGATGAAAGGGAGCAGAACACAGATTTCTTTCCCCACTGCTCTGTGGCTCACCTTTCTAAAATGTCTTTGAAATCTTTGCTTCTCAATCTTCCTTTTACATCTTTGTTAATTATTTACATCATAATTTGCTTTGCTCTCTTCGCCTTTGATGCGTGTCCTTTTGGTGAAGTTTATGGCTTACGTTTTCAGAGCGCTGAGTTCTCTCTTCCTCCGCCGCTCGCTGATAAGTAAGCACAGTAGCCCCCCAAAGCTATATTAATTCATCGCTCCCTAGTTCATATCATTTTGATTTTTTTCTAACTGCAGTGGGCCTTTTTAGCTGGCCTGCCTTTTCCTTCTGCATCTCTGTCCCTATCCCAGAAGCTATATGTGGGATTCGTAACCACATGTGTTCTAATTCTAGACGGCTTTGTGCGGCACTCCGAGAAAGCGGAGCTCTGATTGTCTGCTTGTTTCTTTGCAGCAGCAGCAGCAGCAACAGCAGCAGCAGCAGCAGCAGCAGCAGCAGGCGCCGCCACCTCCACAGCCACAGCAGCAGCCACAGGCTGGCCCCCGGCTCCCCCCACGGCAACCCACCGTGGCCTCGTCCGCAGAGTCCGACGAGGAGAACCGGCAGAAGACCCGGCCACGAACAAAAATTTCCGTGGAAGCCCTGGGAATCCTTCAGAGTTTCATACAAGATGTAGGCCTGTACCCGGACGAAGAGGCCATCCAGACTCTGTCCGCCCAACTTGACCTGCCCAAGTACACCATCATCAAGTTCTTTCAGAACCAGCGGTATTATCTCAAGCACCATGGCAAACTGAAGGACAATTCCGGTTTGGAGGTGGATGTGGCGGAGTACAAAGAAGAGGAGTTGCTTAAGGATTTAGAAGAGAGTGTCCAAGATAAAAATGCTAACACCCTTTTTTCGGTGAAACTGGAAGAGGAGCTGTCAGTGGAAGGAAATACAGACATTAATGCTGATTTGAAAGACTGAGATAAAAGTATTATTTTCATTCAACAGTGCCACTGGTATTTACTAACAAAATGAAAAGTCCACCTTGTATTCTCTCAGAAAACCTTTGTTGTTCATTGTTTGGCCAATGAATCTTCAGAAACTTGCACAAACAGAAAAGTTGGGAAAGGATAATACAGACTGCACTAAATGTTTTACTCTGTTTTACAAACTGCTTGGCAGCCCCAGGTGAAGCATCGAGGATTGTTTGGTATTAAAATTTGTGTTCACGGGACGCACCAAGGTGTGTACCCTGTAAGCATGACACCGGTGATTTTTTTTTTTTAATTATTATTATTCTGGAGCCTCAAACAAGCATTATAATTTCTGTGATTATGATTTCCTCTCCTTTAATTATTTCTGTAGCACTCCACACTGATCTTTGGAAACTCGCCCCTTATTTTAAAAAAAAAAAAAGAAAAAAAGAGTTTGTTACTCTATTGTATGTTACAAAAGAACTATAGACTGTGGAATGCAGTTTAAAGATGACATATGCCAACAAATGCCTTGTATTATATGGCACTGCCGTAATTCAAATTTGTTTTTATTTTGGAAATAAAAGTTCACTGTAATTTTTTTTCATTCTCATTGTTACATGATTTTTTTTTTTTAAAAAAAAAAGGAAAAGAAAATGTGAAACACAATTTAGTCCTCATTATTTATTTGTAGATCCTGCAGCATCATGTTGTAATTAATTTTTTGGAAGTTTCCGTTAAATGTAATATTGCTTCTCTTGTTACCATACTGATTCTTTTCTATTTATAAATGTATTTTGATGGGCAGTAAAACAAAGTGTCTTAAAAGTTTTAAATAGAGAAAATGTGCTTTACACAGTTGCCTATAAAAAGTGCTCTATGTTATCCAAGCAATTCATACTATAAGCTTCACTCTTATTGTTGTATGCAATTTTTACTATCATGCAAATAAGCTTAGGTAAATAAAACTAATAGATCACCTTAGAAAATTATGCAATTAATGTGAAAATAATTGATGTTTGCAATGTGTCTTCCTTTGGTTTACAATCAATTTTAAAGCTACATCTGTATAAAATTTCTGTATAAAGGTGTATTTCTTTTTTATGAGTTTATGGCTATGAAAACACCAGCTATTTTGTTACAGCTGGCTGTTTTTATAAGTGTATCACAATTTTCTTTATGCAGAAATGTTCTGATTAGGAGTGGTTATTGACTGTAACTACACAATTAAAATTGTTTGTATGGTATGACATAGTAGGGTTTGTCTGCTTATGTGAAATAACTTTAAAGAAGAGTCAAAGGATGGCCCTCTCGTTTAGGTGCATGTTAATACTTAACCTGATGATATTTTACTGATTTTAAAAAGAGCAACTGAAAAGTCACTTAACACTGTAAATTTAATTCACAAACACATGCTCATTTTTAAATAGGTATGAAATTTCACAATGAAGATAATAACCTGTTTTTGGTTAACATTTTGCTTAATAAACAGAGATAGGATGGTCAAAAGACTCTCCAACAACGTAAATCCAGTCTCTAGCAGTTATGTGCTTAGAATGGATTCATCTGCATTTATTTCAGAATACTTCAATTTTGGCAACACTTTTCCTTAAGCTAATGTACAAATATTTTTAAAGGCCATTAATAGTAACAGAAAATAAGTAGGGAGAAAAATGGACCTTCTGTATAAAAACCCCCTAGTAAGCATCGTTTATTTTAACAAGTTATAGATGGAATAAGTTAATAACTCTGAGCTCATTTGGTTGTGTATGGCATAACTCTAAAAACTACATGAAGAAAACACACCTGGAATTTAAACACAGTTTTCAAAATTCTTACAACATGAAACTTAATAAATGCCTGGATATAAAATGAAGTGTGCTAATGATCACAAAAAGGATTAAGGCCAACGTTGCAGTTTTGGATGATTTTATTTTATTCACTTTATCTTTTTCTTCCTCTTTGTAAGTTTTCCTGGATGTTAATAGGGGTGGGTACCTGGGTTCCTTAAGATGTGGTTCTGTAATTGTTCTTTTTCTTTCTGCCTACCATCTCCTCAGGCCTCGTGAGCTCATTGGTAGGCAACGGGGCAGCTTTAGTATTGAGCTTTTGCTTAAGAAATTGAAATGGGATCATTGAAAACTCCCAATAAAGCTTTAAAGTTGCATTTACTTTTGAAGCATAGCTGAGCTGCTCTGAAGGCAGCTGGTTTGTTGCAAACTTAAAATTGCATTGAAAAAGTTCCCAATTCTTTCTGTTAAACTGGAAAACAATTTTTAAATATTCTTGCTTGCTAGAGTTCAAAAAAGTAATCATTTCAGCCAAAGGAATTTGAATTAAGAAAATAGATACCAGATTTCATATATTAAAAAATAGAAAATAAAATAGAAACTAGTATACCATTAAGTTAAAAAAGTATCTTCCTCTTCCTTCTTTTCCCCAAGTCTCAGGGAAAAGACTAGGTGCAGCAGAGTGTAGAATTAATGTCTTTTTTTTAACCAGCCTAACACTTAACATAAGGTGTCAAATAGGTATGAAATTTAGTAATTTTTTTGGAAGGAGAAATTGGGTTGCAAAAAAGATTTTCTGGTTCCTAACAACCTCCTAAATTCTTTTGAAATAATGTTTTTGATGAAATGATGAATGTGTATTGGAAACCAACAACAATGTTAACAGAATTCTCATTTAAATCTTTTAACTTGTTAAAGTCAGCATGGTTTTGCTAATTTGATATTTTAACCCCTCTTGCCCTAACCCCAGCATATGTGATGGAATGAGCAAAATTGTTTTCAGGAAAGATAGCACATTTTTTAAAGACTTGCCCAGGTGATCTTCCATATCACTCACTCAAAGTCATTTATTGCTCATGCCCGTCCTCTTCTTCTTGCCTGTGGCTGTGGCAAAATTCCTGTAAAAAGCTCCATTGTGTCCAAGTATTTCAGAGACTTTTAAAAGCTGGGCATGACATAGCGCTTTGTGCTGTTAAGACCTTAGCAGAGTCAGGTAGTTTACGGGTAACAGTCAACCTTGTGCATCTGAATCTGTCATGGATTCCTTCACTCAGCACTTTGCCACTAATTTGCATTACACTCTGTGGCCATATAATACTTGCACATTATGCAAAAAATAATGTTGATAGTATCTCCTTGCCACACAATATGCAGAGCTGACACATAACCTTTGAAAACCAAGGTAACTAATATGTGTGCCCTAGTTGTGTGGCACTTGATAACAAAGTCTGTATATATTATGTATAAAATGTGTATTGATTAGCATTTAGTACTAAGAAATTTTGAGTTTAAAAGAAGTGGTTTTTTTCCCCAAAGTAGTGATATCTATATATGTGTTTATCTAAAGATGCATAGCTTGACTAGAAAACATTTTCAAATGATTCAAGATTGACTAAAATGAGAATCCTAACATTCCACTATGAAATTCTGCCCTATTCCCAACTGTTAGCATCTGGCTGATTAAGATCCTTGATTGTCACAATATTCTCAATAAATGAGATATTCTGAACTGGCTGTTGATATTTTCAAAAAAGTAATTAAAATGTGTATTCCCTATAACACAGTTCATAGAACTAGGGCTATTGTGTTAAAGAAAGTTGGAAATTTGCATGATAGTGTGAAAACCAATGGAGGTCCAAAAATATTAATTATATCTAAAATATCAGAAAATATCGATACTATAGTCTACCTTATAAATAAATATTTTTTACTTTTTAAGGGGGCATATGATGGATTTAGTGTTTCTTCTGAGGCAATCCTTTTAATGTAAATACTAAATACTTGCATGTCTTTTGACAAAGGCTAAACTACAATCTATTAATATGCACATTTTTAATAAAATATAAAGTACCCTAATTAAAGAAATGTGATGGAAGGTGTATGTCCAGAATACCATACCTGTTTAACAAATGTTAAATAAAAATAGTTTGAAATTAATGTATAAAAGATGAGCAACATTGTTAAGACTTTCTTACATTACCCTACTTACGTGGAACATATATGTCTCAAAATTTATCAAAAGAACAATACCAAAATTCAGTTACAACTTCTTGTCTTGTACCAAGGTTGTGTACTAAGTCACCTTTTCTTGTCAATTATTTTCAGCTGCTAATATACCCACAGTGATCAAAAGCACTTGACTTGGGCCTGTTCTCTGTGACAACGGTTGATGAGGGAATGTGATACAACAGTATATTATATTTGTTGCCTTGCAACGTAAACACAAAGAAAATCTAAAGTGACATGTTTTGTGCCAAGTTAAATATTAACATTATTTTCTACTCTGAGTTCAATCTGAAATAGTTTTTGTGGTATTCAAATAAGTTTTCATTATGGTGACTGAGTCTTTAACTCATGTCCTTACATCCCCCGCCCCCCAAATCATGTCCCATGTGCTGCTCTGATTTTCCACTCACAAAAGAACCAGCAATACCTCCTAGATGAGAATGCTGAAGAATGTTCAAATATTAAAATATGTCCATTAATTCTTTGAGTATGTGACAATGTGATGCAAAAGGAGCATGTCTCCAGAGTACAAACCCGTCCGACAGCATCTTAACACGGGGACAGGTTTCACCTACTCCACCCTTGTTTCCAAATTTAATTTCCAAACATTTGCTTTGCTAGACCTAGCACAAATGCTTTCTCTTTCTGAGGCCCCTTTCTAGCATTGCCCTCAAACATGTTTTAAATATAACAAAAACATTTGCAGAATGCCACCGACATATCTTGTTTAAACCTTTCCACTCGTCTACCACGGCTTAAGGCAGGCACTGACATTCCCACTTCAAATAGGTTAACTGATTTGGTCACCTAGGTGGCCACATTAGTATCAAACCCAGGTCTTCTATCTACACATTTCTTTCTCTATTTTCTCCTTAATAAAAGCTTAATGAAAGCTTTCTCAAATGCAAAAAACAAAACAAACTCCCAAAAAGCCCAATTGCAGTTGAACATTTTCAGAAATATATTGTGTGTGTATATATATATGTATATATATATCGTATATATATATATTGTGTATATATAGTATATATATTGTAATGTATATTTTGCTAATATGAATATGATTACTAATCAACTTGAAATCAAGTCTAAGGAACGTTTCATCATGAAATATTAACCTCAAAATTCTACTGTCCACGTACAAGATCTATACACACCAAATATTTTGTAAAAAAACACAGTTTATTATGAAAATTTTCAAATACGCGAAAAAGAAGATCATGAACTCCCAAGGGTGTATCACCCAGTTAAACAATTGTAACATTTTTCCGTTAAATATTTTATGAAACTCATTAAAATTAAGGTAAAACTTTGATGAAATTATTCAAACTGTTTAGTAGTTTTTGCCCATGATGATGTTATGACATCATCTTGTTTTTTTCAAAGTAATGAATTTTATGATTTCTAGAGAA